AGTCAATAGTAATGGGCTCAGGAACAGTCTCATAATACAACACATGCACACAGAAGATTCACACGTTGGTGATTATTCGATGATCCACACTTGTGGCTTTCAATGCCCACAAATGTGTCCCCGTTTCATATACATGTTAAGATTAAAACCAAATACAGAAAAAAGGTTTTACATATGTCATTTTTGATCCTCACATTTTATTTCCGTTTAAAACCGGCTGAAGCCTGAAACAAACCGCTTTCTGTGAATGGGAATCGCTCTGCATTCCTGTGTGGGTTTTTTGAGACTCCCCTGACGGTCACCCGATTCGTACTTTTAATTGTTTCTATCTATAGCCAATCAGATGTCTCCTTCATTCTAAGCCAATAGCGCAAATGTTAAGACCAGATAATTAGCTTCTATGAAATAGAAAGTACTTACCTTACTCTCTGCATCTAAACGAAAAACGGGTTTAAAATATGACACTGGGCTTTCCATACTAATTGAATGAGGGACGCAGCCAAAGCTGGGACTCAAATGCTAATGATAGCTCGGGCACAACGCCACAAGCAGAACTTTCAAAAAGGCAACTTTATGGGAGAGGAAGCGGGAACACTGTCGTCACCAGAGAGTCTAAGCCAAACAAAAAATAAGACGGCAATCAGGACAACTTGGCTGGGAGAGGGTGCGGGGACACAGCCATCACCAGCAACAAGCTGAGCTTAGCTGACAGAAACCTGTCTGTCGAGGCTCTGCACAGCGCACAGCCGGCCACAGCTCCTGGAGGACGCGTTAACGACCCGTAGCTCCGACTGTTAGTCGCGAAGCTGCATGCGGCCAGCTGCTTGCAGAGAAATCCCTCAGATCAAACGTTCAAACCTGAACGCTGTTGCGACAAAAATGTAGCCACGGTACTCTCGGCAGCGAGAAGATGAAAGGAACAGATCCTCTGACGACACCGGCTGATATAGCCGGTGTCACGTGGGTCACAGGTGACTTTGTTGTTATTGTTACTCGAGCTGCGCATGCGCGCAATGGACATATCCAGTGCTTAAAGCACCACCTCTGGCGGTCAGTAGGGACGAAATAGAACTACCCTTCTGTTTTTATCTGGTTAAATAAAGGTTAAATAAATAATAAAATAACACACGTTACATGTGTAAAGTTCATAAATAGTACGCAAAGGTACTTTACAAGGAATTTAAACAACGGCAATAACAGCTGTGTTTGACAACACACATTTGACCTTTCTGAATTCTGTTCTGGACAATGTTTTTGTGAAAAACATTTCTGTTTATGAGCCTTTATTTGTCATTTCAGTTAATTGACCCAACCTCTCTCTCCTGGCTAAAGCTTGACCTTTAATTTCACGCCTCTTTAGGGCCTAAATGAAGCCATCAAACCTCACCAGCTCATTAATTCTGCACAGCGGTCAAACCGCATCAGCACAGATGTCCAGTTACACCAAATAAACAGTATTAAGAAACAACATCCTGCTCATGTTGAAGTGAATGCTCTCTGAGACCCCGTGATGTGTTAATTTCATGCAGGAAGGAGGGTAACAAAGGGAAAAATCCCTGTAATTACAACTTTCACATCATTGGACAACAGAAGAGGTTGATTACCAGTGTTACCAGTAATGAGAGTAATTTGCTCAGTAAATGAACACTTGTCTGGCACTGAGCTACAGTTATAGACAGGCAGAGGTGCTGTGTATCTGCTCAAAATAGCAATAATTCAGGGTTTGGTTATCTAAATAAAGGCATGCTGGTTTGTCATTTACATAACACCCTTGAGGGGATGTTTTTGCTTATTGTATTGGGTATTCCTTGTCAGGTCGTAAGCTGACGGGGGCAGAGCAGGGGGAGGAAGAAGAGGACAGCGAGCTGAAAGGAAGACGAGGAGGAGAAGATTCTTCAGCCGGCGCCTCGATGTGTGAGAAGGCCCTCAGTGAGATCCTGCAGAGCCTGACCGAACTGAACGTGGTCAAACCTGGACAGACCATCATTGTAAGACTACTGCTACCACACACACCCACACTCACAAACACACACTCACACTCACACACTGCATTGCTAAGGGCAGGGACACTATGCTCTGTTTGATATCTTATAATTGTCTTCAGTCTGCCCGGTATAGAGACAAACAACCTGACTTTTTTTATTTAAAAGGAAACAGATAATGGAGATTACATAACATCAACATTTAATTTCTTCTCAGTGTTTGTGTAATTTAAACTCTGAAGAAATATAAAATGATACTATCTAATGCTAATATATTTTTCTCTTTAAGATTTGTGAAAAAACCAGTGGCTCAGAGTACGCAAAAGTTTGCGATAAGATATTACAGAGAATTTGATCAAACATAAAAACGTTCTAAATGAGGAATAACTTGTGGAGCCAACTGCAATAAATAAACTCCCATGATCCAAATTACTTGGCGACACCTCAAGCCTTTGTTATAATTTTTAATGAGAACCCCAGTGGTATAAAATAACATATTGTGCATTTAAAGGTGGGATAGGTAATTCACTTCAGAAACACTTTTTGTTATATTCCATGGAATGCTCTTAACATCCCGATAGCAATGAATACATTAAATGCTTTGATAATAAATACATTAAAAAAATGCATCTGTGGTAGCCGGCCCGGCTAAAATAACTGGATGGCCTACCTGCCTGTCAGCCTTCCATCTGTGCACAAACTTATCTCGTGCTCTCATTGGTCATGTGCGTGTTCGTGTGTGTTGGAGGAGGGGCTCTGTGAGGAAGTTTGTTGGAGGGGGAGCCAGATCTTTTTCGACTACGTAGTTTCAAATTCTAGCTTACTCTAGCTGGTTTCTCCATTCTTACCTACCCTACCTTTAAGGGAAAGGAAGCAGGGTTTTGTTGATTTGTCACTTGGGATATTATTTTAAAAAGTCACTATACAGTACACTGTAGGTGTCAAAAATGTTGAGGCAAAATTGCTGAAATGAATGTGATGTTTATTTAAACAATTTTGATAAGTGGTTCACTGCAACAACTCCTGATATTGCTAAGACTTACCATCCTATATCAGGCCATAAATTCTAACTGAACATGTTTTGAGAATAATTGACTACCCAAGAGCTGCTTGTGTAAGATGATGAAGCTTGTTCTTAGAAATGGTATTCTTATTTAGAGAAATCTTATAAACTCTAACTATCTCACTGCACTGGTGGATTATCACAGCTGTTTCAAGTCTGTCATCTCAAATCACACTTTTTCTTTCCCTTGTCTCAAGCATACCTCAATCAGTGCTTATGTTTCCAGACAGTCGTGATATATAGTTGAATCTTACAACAACCGAAAGTAAAAGCAGCCTTATAATAACAGACATGCATCGTAAAAATAACCATGTATGGCATTTTGTTTCCATCATATTTGCAGTGAAGGTTCTCCTTCATTATGGACACCTGCAGCAGAATTGAGCTAACAGCAGCATCCACATTCAATGGTTCCAGTTTTTATTATGCTGCTTCTGTCTTTGAAGCTGCAGGAAATGACCTCCACTGTGTTTCATTGATTCGTCTTTAGTGATGTTTTGATGCTATTATCCAGGCAGCGTGTTGCCAAATGGCTCATTGAGCTAGAGAAGTACAGTGTCGTGCTTCATCATGTACTGCAGTACCTGACCAGATCATCCACTGCAGCTCTGCATGACTAACAAAGGCTGGCAGCAGACACTGTGTTTGTGAAAAAACACGGTCACACATGCATTAGGTGAAAAGAAAGACATTTTTGTTTCAGTTGTGCTTGAGGTTTAGTATAATTTAAATCCTTATGGAGTTAGGTACTGACTCGGCTGTGACAGGATGAGGAGGCTCTGGTGTGTCACAATGTTTTTCTTTGGATTTCTCACCATAGTGAGAGCGTAGGAGACACAGCTGCTGAAAGAGAGAGGGGATGGATAGGAGAGGCGAACCTGAATATTCCTGCTGCCTGTGAAAGGGGGGACACTTAATCCCATCTAGGGGTTCATGAACATCTGCTCCGTGAAGATAAGAGAAGAGAGAGTGAAAGAAGGAAGGAAGGAAGGAAGGAAGGAAGGAAGGAAGGAAGGAAGGAAGGAAAGAGATGAGGAAGGTTTAATTAGAGATCAGGATAACGGAAAAGAAGATATGGATTACACAATATGCAGGTTGTTTAGACAACACGAGGGTGGACACAAAAACAGAAACACCACCAAGACCAGAGGAGTTGAAAATGTTTTAAGGCGATAGTAGATAAAGGCTGTTGAAAATGTAATTAAAGGCCTTGAGAAATGGTATCAATCAGCTTCTCTTTAAACAATGTGTTGCTACATGAGCATGAAAAGGTATGCCACAGTTTCAGTTACTGCACATTTGTTGTGTTTTTTTGTTGAGCTCCTTTCACTGGCGTTGCTCAGTTTGAAAAAAGTGATGTCACATATTCTGTACACCAATCAGAGTGGAGCAACATTTCAATAGAAATGTAATGAAAGTTGTGGGATTGTTTTTCTTACATTGCCTATCCACTCTCAATCCAACCCCGATACCCTGAGACCTTTTACAGAGTGTTACCACCCTCTAGTGGTGTGATGTAGGAGTTGCAATATATTCTATATACCATTGTACCAATATAAGTTATCTGTAAATATTTTACTGCCTCTGTTTTCATTAATGTTATCACGGTGTCTTCATTTATACTTTGATGTTATGACGTTTTTTTAGTGTTGTGTTGAGTCGCTTTCCATTTGTTTAAGATTTGTTCAAGGACCCTCTTAAAAACGAGAGTGTACATTTCATGGGATTCTTCTTTAGATAATACTTTCTGACTGTCTTGATCTACTGTATAAGAAGAGGGTGAAAAAAAAAGCAGATTTAAGGAGGTTAACCAGGGAACATTTGTGCTACCATCTGGAAAATGATCTTAAAATCCAGGAGGATTGGAGACTGAGATAAATGGAGACATTGGGAAAAGAATGAATGATTTGAAAATGAGCTGAGAGATTATTTTAGTTCTGACAAGGGGTTACACTCAGGCTCCAGATCAGTGGGTCTCACTCCTGGTCTCAGTCTCTCAGGTGGTTTCTATCCTTCTGGTTCCCTAATTGCATGTGTCTGGTGTGCAAGGTTTAAAAATAGCACCTATTATGAGGAGAGGTAATATAACTGGCAGCCCTTTGGCCAACAATAATGTCCAAGGAATCTTTAATGTCTTTACTACCGTTTTCCTTCCATGAATGTTGTGTATTTTTCTTTGTGTGCTCAGGACTTTAATCAGAGGTCCCTCTTCACTGTGACATCCCAAGGAATAACTCCCAGCAGCCCTTGCTCTCGGTCTCTGACTCCGCTGGCGTCGCAGCATTACCTGCAGCTCCTCCAGCAGCAGCTGCAGCAGCAGCAGCAGCACACACAGGTGGCCGTCGCACAGGTAAGGAAACACACACAAACTGTTACACGCACACAAACAAACTCATACACATTGTAAACACGGCAGAAGGTCATAATGACCAATTGTAAAATATCTACTGGGAGGCGTGTGGCGCAGTGGATAGAGCCTTGGTGTTGGGATCAGGTTCAAACAGGTTCAAACCCCACTGCAGTCAGCATGTCGTTGTGTCCCTGGGCAAGACACTTCACCCCAAATTGCTCCTGTGGGGATTGCCCACAGCATTGAGTATGTAAGTCGCTGCATCTAATGCGTTATGGATTAATTTGATTTGATTACACGATGCTCTCCTTCAAGTCTTAACAGTTTGTGATATTCAAAGTCCAAATATGGTATCATTTGTATTATTTCAGTTTTTACTATTATATTATTTTCATTATTATAATTTAATTTAAAAAATATATATTTTTGTATTGCTCTAAAAATGTTTTCCTTTTCATTTTTGTATTAACTTTATTTTTTTTATATTCAATGACTTAATATGATATTATTATTATTATTTGTCTTTTCTTTTATATATGTATATATAGTTATTTTTCATATTGCTCTGAACTAATTTTCCCTTTACATTACTCCTGTATTAATACAATTACATTTAACTTTCCTCTACAACCCTACGTTAAGGTCAAGCTTAAATCCATATTTTAAAGCTGATACTTTAAAAAATTAATATTCCTGGAAAAGGACAATTGATCCCGCCAGGTAGTTTCCACCTTTGGTACTTTAAGGAAAAGGCAGCAAACTAAGTATATGTAATTAATTTATTGCAAAGACAGGAAGACAATCTTAGATTTAAACACATGAAACCAGAGAGAATTGGTTTTCATAATGTTTTGCTTTAACATTTACTGACTGATTTTTCCAAATAGTCGTTGCATCTCCACTCTGATTGGTTCTCCTCTCTCACTACACAGCCATTCCTATTAAGCATTTCAATGAATGAGATTAACATTTCTTCTAGTCTATGGCCTTTGTACAATCTTTTATTGATTAAGGGCTAAATCAAAATCAATAGCCTCTTTTTAGAAAGGGTACACAATAATCAGTACGGCATAAATTAAACTTGATGCTCGCCTGTTTTCAGTAAAAGCCAGTAGCATGTACCTCTTATTTTTATAATTGACTTTGTTGGCCCAGCTGAACTCGTCGGATTGATCCTGACTCACGCTGTGGATTTAGCTCATCCAGTGTGTCATGAAATATTTCATATGATTCTGCAAATTGACATTGATGAGATCTTTCTCTCTCACTCTGCCTCATATTTATTTCAGTAAGCTTTTGAAAACCTGCACTATGTCATGAAATGAAAATGGAATTATTTAGTAAAAGAGACTTGTGAGGCTTGTGCTCCACAGATCATCACATTTTATTTATTTATTATTGTCAGTCTTGTCTTCGTCATTCATCCTGCCACATTTAAATATTATTATGTGTTCAAGCTAAATGACTAATAGAAATTAAAAATTAAAAAAAACACCCACAAATAGTGCTAATATTAACAGGAAAATTCCACATATTTTGATATGATTTTTGGTATAATAAAGAGCATCATGTCAATTTTCAACGCAATTTTTAATTTTTGTCCTATTTTACTTTCTTCCATCTATTTGTCCTCCAAATTACTAATTGGCAAAGCATTTATTTTATTATTAGTAGTGTTGTCCGCATTCACACACTTTTTTGTAGCTTGAGGCTAATTCACTCTATTATGTTGCACATAATCACACATCAGCAGGAATTATATGGAAAATATTTTAGCACAGTTAAGCAGTCCTATAGAGATGATCTTCATCTTGAGTTATCACTCCCTCAATCAAATATGTGTCTTTTACCTATGGTTTCCACTAGGGAGCAGCACCAACAAAACAATGGAAGGGCAGTAAGTGTAGCAGAATGAAATACATGTGGTTAAACATTTGAGCATCTCAAGATTTATTAACCCTCATTTATAGTGTAATCTGAGGAACTACAACACAAATGAATATTCACTTCAGAATTTAAAGTCTGATGTGGTTGATTGCAATGCCACAGCCAAATCGACCCGCAAGTTAATGATGCACCTAAAGAGCCATCCCATTATTCATTTGAGTTTCAGTCTTGAAATCATAGCAATGGAAAATGATGAATTAGATGTAATCCAAATAATATAATTAATCAAAATCACATAATATCTCTGATGGGAGGTAAGCGGAATTAAAGAGACAGAAAAAAAAGTATTTCAAAACTCTTGCCGTACAATTAATTGGTCATTTATCCAAATCACAATATTGATTAGTGTGAGAAAGTGCAATATTTCTCTGTTTTGCAATTTGAATCCTAATTCAGATTCCTTTCTGTGATTTGAATATTGCATTGTGGTGTGAAAGTACTGTCGCCCTAAACATTTTATTATCCAAACATATTTTCTTAGTACAGTTCCTGACAAAAAAAAAATGTCTCTGATCATTCCCTAAAATATTGAAATCATATTGCGATAAAAACATTAAATTGTCTAAATCACTATTTTATTTTATTTTATTTTATCCATATGCTCTAATTCTAACAGTTCAAACCATAATGCATCACCCCCTCTCTCTCCGTGTGTCCTCTCCAGGTGCAGCTGTTGAAGGATCAGATGGCTGCAGAGTCGGCAGCCCGCCTGGAGGCTCAGGCCCGGGTTCACCAGCTGCTGCTGCAGAACCGGGACCTGCTGCAGCACCTGGCTCTGCTGGTGCAGCAGCTGAAGGAGCTGGAGGCCGACGCCCCAACAACACCAGCAGGACTGGAGCTGCAGGCTAATGGACTCGGTAAGTGACCGCTGGGAACAGATGAACTGATGTCAGGTCAGGTTCCCCCGGGTTCTGCAGTCCGGGCCTTTGCTCGCTCCTCTGCTGGCCCGGGGACATTGCAGTCACTCATGACACACATGTCCTCCCGCCTGCAAACACCCTCAGCTGTGTTTGACGAGGCAGAAGCACAGCTGCCGGGGATCGAACCCCCGCCCTGCAGGTGAAGGTGTTCCCTTTGTGCTATCTGGGCAGCTGTAATTGAGCATTGTTGCCTTTATCTAAAAGAAGATTATCCTCCTGGTGTGAAGCAGTGTGTACATTCTGTGTGTGAGTTCTTTTCTTTCTGAGATTTCTTGATCACAGTATCAAAGGAGGCTTTTTTGTCATGGTTAATGAAGACTGATTAAAAGCCCTTGATATTGTTAATGAGAAAGAATGAGGTGAAATGGGTGAGAGTGAGTTGGTGCTCAAACATGGTTTTTAGAGATGATTCTTTCATTTTTACATAAGCATATGAGTTTTCACATTTGTGTAAAAAAGGTTTAATTCACTCACTCAATGTATAATAGTAGTAGCAAAAGGTGAAACAGTTTAGCATGCCAACATTAGTTAATTGGATAATAAGTACCAGTAATACAAATGATAGCTTAGGCTGATGTGAAAGACATCCGATAATACTTTAATGTCAGTTAAAATCTGAAAATGTTCTTGCATCACAGGAGCTCCATTTGCTACATCAACTAGAACATATTCCAAGACAAGAAACAAGGAAACATAACAATACGATCACTGAAGACAACATGCTCAAGACCCTCGAGACTAGACGTTCGACCTGGGATCTAACTCTGCATTCAATTTGAGGATTGACTGGTGCACTGAAAAGTGCTCCGGTCTAACCTCGTAAAATAGTGGTCAGGACATGAGAGGAATATTTTTAGGATGAATAAGTCTGCACCAAAGCACTGGACCCTCCTACAAGCAGATGCATGAAGCTACATTATTTCCTTTAACATTTATCCATTTCCACTTACTGACATCTAATTCAACTATACATCTACTATAACATTTGGAATTAAGAATATTCGAATGTTTACACTGTTACCGAAGTGTTAATTTAACTATATGTTTATTACTGAAGTGTTAGTGGTGTTGTTGTACTAGCTGCATTGTGTTGAAATGTTTTTTTAATGAGCTTTCTCCCAGATGTTTTTAATGTGGTTGTGAAAAACATTTAAACCACTGCTCATTAATTGCCAAAGAATGGCAGTCCTGTTAAACATTACTGCCATCTATATTGATTTCTCCCCCACCCATATCACTTTTTGCAACACAAAGTGTAAAAACAACATTCTTACAAACAATAGCATCTCTGTATTAAACTAAGAGCAGATTACATAATCAGAGTGGATTTAAAACCACATTTTGTCAACATTATCTCACACTCTCAGACTGTGTTCTCACTGAGAGTTTTCATTGTGTAAAAAACCTTTTATTTTTGGTACACACACACACACACGTTCATACACACACTGTCCCAAGGGAGGATTTTCGGAGGAGGTATGTATTTACAGGATTGAAAAGAAACGACCATTCTTGCCAAAATCGTAATGAGACACACACAGTGGGCAGAGCTGTGTGTGTGAGTTTTGAAGTGTGTACATTTTGAAAATGCCCCATTGTGTTTAATGCTGGTTTTAATCATGTTAGTCCCTCTGATAAAAAATGCTAATCTCAGACATAGCTGGATTTAAATCTTCCTCTGGCACAGAGCCAACTTCTTCATTCTGTAATGAGAGTCAGGCCTATGAGAGATCTTCAGACAAATAAGAAATATCCTTTTTTTTTTTACTTTTGGTCGACTAGGGCTGCACTATTAATTTGAATTTAAAGAGGCCCTATTATGCTATACATCTTTGAATGATAATGACAATAATGACACAAAAATGATCCACCCCTCCAAAATGGTGATTCATACCGTAATTGCAAAATGAGTTTATTTCCAAATGTTGCAGCTGTATGGTTAACTCTTAAATGCTCAGCAGTTGCATGTTTTATTATAGTGGCGTTTTGTTGATTTATCTTCTGATTATTCCAGATGGTCCTCAGTCCCCGTGCGGCTCAGTAACATCAGCAAAGGCTCTGACTCTGAATCTGAGGAAAAACTACATCCAGACGCTGGACCAGCTCATCACCTCTACACCTGCATGGCCTCTCCAAGCCTCCCCCCTCTCCCCCTCCACTGTGGACAGTGCTGAGTCCTACCTGAACCTGCTCAACCTGGAGAACAGCGGCGAGCCTGCTGTGCTGGTGAACGGAGACGCTGACCTCTTCATCAGGGCCAAAGGGAGCGCAGAGAACAAGGAGGGCTCGTGCAATGAGATCGTCCCATTCACCCTGAGGAACTCTGCCAACATCGATGAAAAGTAATACCACTTTTTTATTTTTTATTTAGAATAGAATATAAAGAACTGTACCAGAAATAAGTGAGTCCAATGAAGAAGAAGAACATTGTGTAACAAAGCCATTATACGTCAAAGGAATAGTTCAACATTTTGAGATATAGGCCTTTTTTCTGGTAGAGAGTTTCTCTTATGTCTATAAGAAACATATTGATGGTATATTCTGGCGTTAGTACTGTCCAAAAAACTGAAAATGCAACATTTAAACATTCAGTGTAAATTAATTTGTTACTCCTTTTTGTACCTCCATATTATTCATAGTTTTACTTCTATTTGGGAGGTTTTTCTTAAGTTTGCATGATGTTTTTAGGGGATATAAACAGGAACTTTAATGTTGCAATGCAGTTAGCTAGCTGTTAGCTAGCTCTTGGCTACAACTTGAGCCCTGAGGGATTTTATGCCTTTTTATTTGTTGAATGTTTTTTGAAAATTGGCACCATTCAAAGGTATACTGAATCAGCTATTAGCATATCCTGTCGACAATAGAGTGGTGCAGTGACGAGTCCTAAAACCCGGAAGTGAGTTAGAATTTCACCACTACCGGTTCCCTCGTCTCAGAGCCAATGGGATTTCTCCAAAGGATTTTGGAAAATAGCTGGAAATAAGGTCTGTGGTTGACACAAATTTAAGAGACGGATCACGTTTTGTTCTATGACATTAAGGCCGTCCACACGGAGACGATATCAGTTGAATCCGCTAACGTTCTCTATCGTATAGAAGACGGTTCTTCCACACGAGGCCGACACGGAAACGCGGATTCGGAGCCCGAATCCGATACCCTTTGATTACGGCTCCCAAAAAGTGGGTAGATCTGAGGACGAAACGCTTGCGGCTCCGTGTGTACGCCCTATACGATCATTCCCTGATGACGCCATAGCCCCGCCTCTCCCCACCTCTCCTGCTCACTCCCGCGTCATTGCTGATGCGTTTCACCAACAACAACAACAACAACAATGGCGGATCACAGGGTTGCGTTTGTACTCCAGACGCTACTGACCATGATACCGATTTTAGTGCAACATTTACAGCTCCTCTACCACAACCATCAGCAACAATAATAATATAATATATAATATAATAATCGTCATCGGTCTTATTCGCTGCTTTTCGTGTATTTTGTGGCGGAAGTACAGCGCCACTTACAGGCCCGGCATATGTACTACATCTTCTCCAGCGGGTCGAGCGGTCTCGTGTGGACGGACACGTTTCTTGAGCCGATTCCGTGTGGACAGAAGACATTTTTGATATCGAATTCGGTTCATTTTCATTTTCATCTCTGTGTGGACGGGGGCCTAAATACACCAGCAGTGCACTGGTGATTTTTGAAGAGTTGACGTGTCTGAAAAACGATTGCACCAGTGCACTGCTGGTGTATTTAGGCCCCCGTCCACACAGAGATGAAAATGAAAATGAACCGANAACGAGCCGTTAAAGGCAGAGAGTGAAATTCAGTGAATACACGTAGTTTACAGAGATGCTGTATGAGAAACCAAAGTGATTTTGGAAAATTGCACAATATAAATCTATTCTAGTAGACCTCAACAATGGAATTATTATCAGTGGAAATGGCCATGACATGGGACCTTTAAGAGCCCTTCTAGTCGGTTTTAAGGATTTGATTGCAAACTTTAAATACCTTATTTAACTTTTTTCTCGATCACACTATAATAACACTAAATATGTATTTAATGTTATCTGCTTACATTTGCTTGTACCCAGCAAATATAAGCAGATAACAGTAAGCTCTTTCAGGTAGGCCTCACCTTGGCTGCTGGACTCTTCGGAGGACTTGTCGCTCTCTCCGTCCGCCTGTCCATCTGCGTCCTGCTCAGCGTGCTGCAGACTCATCTTATGACACACCTCGAAGGCCTGACCCACTGTACGCACTATCCTCATGGCCTGCGTCTGACAGGGGGAGACAGGGGGGAGGGTGTAAGGTAGAAGGTCAGTGATTTTATTTGTATTTAGCTTATTACATTAAATAGTTGCACTCATATTTTTGACATACAGTACAAGCAAATCAGAAAAACATGACCAAAAATAAGAAGGATTAAGCGGAAGATGAAGAAAAATACAAGAAAAACTCAAATCCAAGCAGTAATATATATATATATATAAATGTAGATTAATCATATAGTCCAGTTATCGTCATAGGTCGAACACAATAGAGGGATGATTTCACACATTTACATACACGCTTACAAACGCCTGTTCGTATACTTTCTTGTAAAGAATAAGAAAACATACTCTGTACTTTAGCCCCAATACCTAAAATAACAAAGTTCAGCGTTAACAGAAGAAATATTTAACAAAAAACACCCAAAAAACGGTCATTTGGCTGATGAGTTCCTGCTGGCTGTTTTAAGAGGAGTTCATCAGTGAAATCACTCGCTGCAGTCTGTGAAAGCATGAACACTCAATTATTTGGCACGCAGTTGAATACCTCCATTCAGAGACTTATAACTTCCCTTCTGTGGAACAATTCTCATTACAGCTGACTGATAACACCAGACCTGTGAGCCAAGGCTGCAGCAGATACTACAGCAACAACTGCAGCAAGATGCTAAAGATCAAGAGTTGTTTGGGGAAATATGCAGTTTGAATCATCTCTTCTGTATTCACTGCAGGCTTTCTATCTACAGGGATGAACCACAGGATATCAACTACTAAGCCACCGGAAATCCAAAAACTAATCAAAACCACATTTTAATTAACTCAGCTGAATGAATAAGAGATAGAACAATTGAAAAACATTTCATATAAACAGCCCTCAGTCACAGGTGGAAACAGAAAACTGATACCACATTTGAGTCTGCATATATTCAGTCCTGCAGCGCGCCTAACACTGCATGAAGCAGCAGGGGATTTATATCATGAGCAGTGACAGCAGCAAATTGGGTAGTGAGAGGAATAAGTGCACAGTTCAGAAAGCCTGACTCTGAATGCAACACGTCTTATAGCTGTTAGATTAAGGACTACTGCTGCAGTTTCTACCATTTGCTTTCTTCTCCCTTTATGATGGGTTCATTCCAGTATGATGGTCAGTGTTATTTATACAGGGAATATCAAGGATGATGAACCATTAAAGCTGCAGGGACGTTGCATAAAGCCTATTCCCCAGAAAAGTGTGTGTGTGTGTGTGTGTGTGTGTGTGGAGACTCCTGTGGTACCTTCTTCTTTGACTTGAAGACGTTACATCTGAAGGAGTTATTGGATCCATCTCTGGCGATGTAGCTGAAGATCTTTAAGTCCTGGGAGTCATGAGACACGTAGAAAATCCTGAAAACATGAAACTAGATTTGAGTACACAAATGTTAGAGTTACTTCACAATATAAAATGAATGATTAGGGAGAATTTTGACTATACTTTATGGAATCAAAATGGGTATTAATAAATACAATTTCACTGGCATTGGTATTAACTACTCAGATTATGGCATCGTGACATTCCTGAAAAAGCATCTTGGATTGTTTTTCAACATTTTTTGTCACGGTTTTGTTCTGTTGAATACATCTTTTTATGACCCTGGGTCCTTATGTTATGTGTGTTTTTGTCATATTTCTCTCCTCCTGTGTGTGAGTTTGTGTGAGTGTCTGTTGGCAGATTTGCTGCTTCCCAATGCCTTATTTGTCCAGATTAAATTCATATTTATCAAGGATAAAGAATGTCTTTACAAAACCAGACAGGACGCGTCCTTAAAAACACATTATAATACGTGTAGTATTATACTGTGTTTTAAGTACGCGTCCTGTCTGGTTTTCACTCTGCCATAAACGCTGCGCTCTCTGCAGTAAACCGTGAGAGCGTCAGCCTGCATGTCCTCTCCACTGGGAATGAGGCAAACTAATTATGACCATCAACTCCTGAAAGTCACCCGATACTACAGGGTGTACTACAGTACTGCATGTGTTTCCACTGAAAAACCACACCCACATAATCAGAGGCAAGTGCAATTATTATGACCACACACAGAAACGGTCCTTTGATGAGGTGTGGCTTTGCTAAATGAGATCCTCCCACAGGTGAATACATAATTTACAAACACACGAGCTGAGATTCACAGATTTCTATTTCTGTTAAGAGGTTGCATTATTAACCATAATTGCTCATTTTGAAGAGAGCCAAAAAAAGCAGTGACTGGCAGCGTCAGAAGCCTCTTATGATTGGTTAAATCCATCATGTAAACAGGGAGGGTATGTGATAGACACACACACACACACACACACACACACACACACACACACACACAAGCTATAGATTATTCATTACAGGGCTGCACAATAAATCCACATGTTAATTAATAGTTAATATNCAATTTTGAATCTGTATTTTTGAATATCGATCTTAAGTTGGTGTGACGTTGAAGCAGCGACCCTGCTGTAGTTCGTTTATAGCATAACGTTAGCATTTTGCTTCTGGCGATTAGATTTATGATTAGAAAATTATAAAAGTAGGGTAGACCTGTGGAAATTATCCGGCAGAACAAAACGTACATTTATCTAACAGGTTTGTTTTCCACAGACCTTATTTCAAGCTATTTTCCAAAATCCTATGGAGAAATCGCATTGCTTTTTTGTCGAGGGAACCCATGCGCAGCTTATTTTCTGGTAAAAACGTCATCCCTGCACCAGTCTATATAACCTGGGATGAAGAACAGACACTTTCACTGGGTAACTTAAATACTGAAAAAAATAGAATATTACATTTAAACTGTAAGTCACACTGATTCTAAAAATCTGTGTATTGCATCTTTGTGTTCAGAGTTTGAGTTATGAACCCAAAAACAAAACAAAAAAAAAAGATAACCAATCAAACTTTTAAGAGGCAGATAGTTTACATTTTGATACATTTGATCAGAGCCAGGCTAACGCTATCCCTACACTGTTTGTAATAAGAAAAGTGCCTGCTGGCCATATCTTCATTTTTGATGGATAAACATAGAAGTAGAATCAATGTTTCTCCA